GTAAGAGTTGGAGTTCTGGCCATCCAGTGCAACATAAATGGATCTGTCCTTTAGGTAACTTTCAAACCAAGTGCAAAGTTTCGGCGATAATCCCATTGCTTTGAGCTTGTTGAGCAGATTTTCATGCCAAACTTTGTCGAATGCTTTAGATATATCTAAGGCAATTGTTCGTGTTTCACCCCGCAACTCAATCGCTTTTTGCCATAAGTGAGTGACGTATGTAAGTAAATCGCCAGTTGACCTATATTTCCGAAATCCGTATTGCTTATCGTTGATAATTTTGTACTTTTCCAAGTACTTGGTTAGGTGATTGTTCACAACTCTTTCCATTACTTTTGATATCACCGGAAGTAGAGCAATTGGTCTATAGTTTAACGGATCTGTCTTTTTTCCTTTCTTTGGAATGGGTTGTACTGCGGCAGACTTTCATGATGATGGATATACTCCTTGCCTGTAAGACAAATTGAATAATTTTGCGAAAGTTGGGGTGAGTTCGTTGGCGCAATTTTTGAGTACTATTGCGGGAATGCCATCCGGACCCATTGCTTTGTTTGTATCCAGCTTTTTCAGGGATTTTCGTATTTCTCTGTGACAAAAGGGTACCTCTGGCATACTATGGGAAACCCTTTCAATGAACGGTGGAGTTTTTCCGTTTAGCACTGTTAGGTTGGAGTTGGAGGAAAACATTTGGGCAAGCATATTGGCTTTTTCCTCTGATGTTGTGGCTAAGTGATTATTTTTATCTGTAAGTGGTGGTATGGATGACTTGGTGAATCCAACAGCTTTTGCAAGAGACCAAAAAGACCTAGAACTACTTGGACAATTCAGCAACCTGTTTTTTATTCTTTGATTGTATGTTTCTTTAGCGGTCAATAGTAATTTTGCAACTATTTCTGGCTTCTATAAATTCTGTGTGGTTTTGAGCGGTTTGTTGTCGTTTCCAAAGGTTATATGCTCTGTGTTTTTTCTGTACAGCCGTTTGACACTGGCTGTTGAACCAAGGTTTTGCATTAGCTCTACGTTTAGTTGTATGTGGGATATATGCGTCCATTCCAGATAAGATTACTTGTATTATTTCATTACAGCAAATAGTGGGATCAGCTGTTTTAAAGCAAACCTCTTGCCATGGAAAATCCAGGTAATACTGTTTTAGGTCATTCCATTTTGCCGATTTATAGTGCCACATTTTACGAGGAAGTGGTTGTAGGCTTGGTGGGATGAGCATTTCGCACTTTGTTATTATAAGTTTATGATCGGACGAACCAAGTGGAGCATCTACGTGAATTGTGTACGAGTCAGGATTGGTGGTTAGGAACAAGACTAAAAGCGCTGCAAATTCGCCCCTTTCTGAGATACGGGTAGGTTCATCGACAAGCTGCGTTAGACCACAACTTATGGCAAAAGCTTCTGCTTCTCTGCCTTCGTTATCTGTTTTGTTGTGGTGTTTCAGCCAGGGTATATTGTGGACGTTGAAATCGCCTAAAAAGACAATTTCCGCCTGTGGATAGTTTGACTGTATACTATCGCAACTTTCGGATAATGTCGCGAAAAAGTTTTGGTAATCGGTGTTACTTGGCGGTCGGTAAAGGCAGCAGATAAACTTGGTCGATGACTTTGAGGTGAATTTTAGCCATATGATATCAAGGTTCGCTGGTTCTAGCTTCTTCTCTCGATGACATGAAAGGTCATTTTTAATGTACACACAGATCCCAAAATTATGTCGAAATCGGTGGTGTAGGTCATAGCCGGGATAAAGATAGTTCACAATAGGTGTTGCAGAACTGATTTTAGTTTCAGTGAGAACAGTGTTCTTCAAGATGTTGGTGAACTGAATTCATATTTGTACTTATTCCTCTTATATTGCTAAAATCAATTCTGAGTTGAGTTTTTGATCTTCTCTTTATATCTTTGCTGCAATTTTTTTAAGTAGAAAAGGCTTGTGTTGCCAACATAGTTACTAAATTTTTGACTTGGGGAATTGTCTTAAAAAAAAAATAGACTTTAATTATTCATTATTCAATTTTTATTTTTATTTTGCATTAAACTGATTATTTTGTTTTTGTGAGTTCAATTATTTATACAAGTATTATTTTTTTAATTTTTATGTTTTTTTTGTTTGTTTATAACATTTTTTATAACATGTGCATTGTTTATGTATTTAACAAAAATCATTTCATGCTGTAAACAACACAGATAAAGAATAAATTAAAGCCTAGAAAAATTATGTGCTGTCCTTTTGTGCTGGGATTTTGATTTTTGGATTTAGAGCGTACATTAGAGCCTTGTTGAATTTACTAACATTTTCCTACCCTGACGAGAGAATACCCTAGCAAATTGAAATAATCAATCTAGAGATATTGGCTCAAAAACAACTATAGCTGAGTAGCTTCCCGTATGGGACCTCAGTACCGGCTGGGAAACTGGCTAACTAACCAAAAAACTCTTCAGTATTGAATATAGGTAGTGCTGATTGAATGTTTGTATGTGGAATTAAAATTTTAGCACAAAGACAAAGGATGGTACCTAATTTAAACTTTCATTGACTTAAAATATCGATCATTGACTCACAATTATTATTAAAATGACACAGTATGTTTCGATTTTTGAAGAATGTTAGATCGAGGGTTTCTCTGCCGTGCTCTTTCCCCTCGTTAGTTCCAGGATGAGAACGGTACGATTTACTTTAATAATAAAGTAGACGTTTCACAAATTTTTCGTTTTTTTTTACATATCACAATCTCCCTTAAATTTCCCTTATATTTGCTATGTCGGGCGCATGTCCAGTAAGTAAAATTGAGTAAGTTTCCACAATGTAGGTCCTATTTGTTTTTCATTTCGTTTTTCAGAAGATTTGTTGTTTAAAAGGTAATAAAAATTCATACCGTTCAATATTACTGAACGAATCCGGATATGTTATACTACAACGTATGTATATTGAGGAATTTTGGGGAAATCTGATATAAAGTAGTAATTTTTTAATAAATGTTTCCCTCCTATCAAAGAAATAGCAGAGGAAACGTTGAGATTGGGGAAGTTTTGTTTGTGAAACTGTACAAGTAATGGAAGGACTCAAAATATATGAGACAATAAAGAAACATTGAGAACGTTCGAGCAAATATTAGGAAAATCCGAAGAAGTCAAAGGAAATACTTAACTAAGAATAGAATTTTTAGCATCAATTCTTATCTCATCCAAAAAAATGCATTGAACATAAGGACAATTTTCAGGAATTATGTGAAAATTTAGAGGAAAGAAAAAGTAATATTAAAGACGTACCGTCAAATGGGGTTACTTGCAACCTGGAGATAACTTGCAACGATATTACTCTAATGTAATTTGGGCTCTCCTGTTACCATAGGGTAAATCGTACCTGCGCTATGAGAGTGTTTCTGTTTACTGTACAGGTCTTCCCTGGAATGTGTGCAAGTAAATCGATTCTGAATTTTAAATTTGCGATTGTGACTCTAAAATTGTTGTCAAAAATGTCAAATAACTTCTTCTACCCAGATCTTATTTTTTCTGCGATTTGTATGAAAATTGGAAACGATATGCTGGGATACTTATTCTAAAATATAGAGTATTAAGTTGTATGATAACTTCAAAAAAAAAATTATATATTTTTTTTCACTTGCATGTCCAAGAGAGGGTTACTTGCAACATGTCTCGAAATTATACAAAAAAGGGGAGGAAGAAGTTACAGAAACTATTCCGAAGAAATGTTGCAAAAAGCGTTTAGGGATGTTCAGAATAGAATATCCTTAGGGGTTGAACTCATGGAATTACCAAGTCCACGATATCAAGAAAAAAGAGAAATTTGTTCCCACTCGCTCCTGGGAACAGCTTGTCTTTTCCAAGGAAGAGGAGGAACAATTTTTATTAAATATATATGAAACTTTCCTAGATTATTTTGGAAACGTTTTTCCTTCACGATTTATTTGCGTTATGTTTTAGGTTCCTAAATTCTTTTAGAAATGTTTTTTTATGTTACATTGAGTGTTGCATTATGTTTTCTTTGTAATATTTTCCTAATAAAAACTGAAAAAAAAATATCTGCTCTAAAATACCACTGTATGGTTCCTATGGCTATTTTACTATATTTTGTTTCATAAACTGTGTTGAAGGTGGGTTTATAAGAGCTCCTAAATGCAAATTCTATCTGAAAACTACATGTGTTGCAAGTATCCCCATTTTATAGTTTAACTTGCAACTGAAAAATTTAGTTTTTCGTCAATTTTTCATCATTAGTGGATAATCCAACATAAAACCATTGTTTTGAGACCAGTTGGGACAAATAAGACAAAAAAATAAAAAAGATTTGAATGAAACAAAATTGAAATTGTTGCTGTACGTCTTAGGAGAAGGTTTGGATATGAGGTACAGTATCAAGAACTTTTAAGAAAATTAGTAGAAATCTGGAATAAGAAGTTCAAAATATGTAAAGCTCAGGTATTAAGGAAGAAAATCTGAGGAAGTTAATTTGGACAGTAGGGAATTCTGTCACTTCTAAGGAGAGTTTGAGAACTGAAAAGTATTTAAACTCGGAGGTTTCACATTGATTTTTTAGATCTGTCAAAAAATGATCAAAAGGCTCATTTTCATCATCATTCGCAGTTACTGATCGAGGAGAAATAACGAAGAGATTATGGGGAAAAAATTATAACCTGTGGTCTGCACCAGGAATTTGATGACATTTTTGAAGAAGATATGGAACTTTGACCAGTTAATTGAATACATACCTAGATTCGGTGACTTGTATGATGACTTTTCATGTAACATTCTACAAGATTTTCCTATACCTACTGTTATGAAGATTCTTGTTCTGTGTTTTTCTGGATGAACCTTTTCTGATGTAGGAGTAATAAATATACCTACTTAATACCTAATAGAAACTACAGATAGGAAATAAAAAAAATTATACCTATTGATAGAAAATTCAATAGGTACGATTATTAAACAAATTTTAAATTTCATACGTTTTAAACAAATAAATGATCGCTTACCTCAAATAATTTGAAATCCCAAACTATGAATAAAAAAACAAATCGAAAAGCCGGCTTTTCTTGTTCACTGTTTTCCTTTAGCGAAATTTTCCATGACTCTCTTTCCTTTGAACACCAAAAAAGACCGACAACAGAAACCAAAAAAATCAGTACAAATACCGATTAAAATAAAATAAATACAAACAATTAAAATAAATTCAAATAAAATCTCGCAGGATCGCAGAGTACGGTCCGAACGATCCGAGCGCGTATTTCGGTATGTTCAGCTGATGCTTCAAAGGTGCTTTCGCTATCACTAAATAATAATAAAAGCGAGATGGGGGAGTCCTGCACAGGGCACAAGCAGCATAAGCTCTCATCGTGGGAAAAGAGACGGAAAGCTGTAGATGGAAAGGGTTTCCTGCTGTACAAGTTTTGGCCGCTTGCGCTTTCAATAGGGCCTTTTTTCGAGGCAGGATTAATCGGTGTCTGGGAAGCTGAGGCGGCTTCGTTATCGATTTTTCAGTAGGGGGTTCCTGAACTTAAGGCTAATCAATGATGGATGATGACCCTTGTAATGTTATAAGGAAATGTCTTTATGTAGGTAATAAAATATATATCTTTAACTGCATTTGTTAACCAGTTCAAGTGTAGAAGTTATATAGAAATTTCATGCGGAAAAATCTTCATTTCATTTCATGAGTATGTATTTGCCCATATATTTATTAATGTTTGGACAGCTCTTACAGTTCCCAAGGTATTGTACTTCAATGTTGAGCTTAATTTGCTCAAATTTTTGTTGAAAACTTATCAAAACTTTAAGTCAACTAAAAGATGTAGTAAACCACTAGTCCACTAAAACAATGACTGAAAACTTCTTGATCCTTGTCAAGTTTTTGTTTTTTTTTTTGAAAAATACCAACTCAGAGATTGCATACCCAATTCAAATAGCTTGAATTGACATTATATTGATTAAATTATATCAAAGTATCTCTAGGTTGTTCAGCTAATAAATCTTATATCAATAGAAATTTATTGACTAGCTACTTGTATTTAAACAAGTTATGAAGTATTTATACGCTCAGAAGAGAACCGAACAAAATAATATTGTCATACGGACTTTACGTGGGCCGAGAAATGCATTATTTATTATTTTATAAATCTACCTTTTGTCGCCCATCCTTTTCAGCTATAGAGGATAAATACGTCTTTATTATTAGATGAAAGACAATTATTGGTAAATGGATTAAGAGGATATATTTTGTCTATTTAGAAAATTTTCAAATTCCAACTTCTTATACTTATAACTGATTTGTTACACTCAGAACATAAGATAGTTGCCTAGTAATATTCACCAAACGCAGCTGATGAGGACAGAGAAAGAAATATGCCTCTACGGATGCCTGAATCTATGAATCAAAAATTCAGAGAATCACTTTTTAGATACGAGAAAACTTTTCAACAATTGAGACATACTTATCATCAGTCAGGCATACGTCTATCCTGTTAAAACTTAAAACAATATGTTGTCATCAAAAAGATGTTTACTTCAATGCTTTTCAATCATCATCATTTATAAAATTGTTTATTAAAGAATCCACCCATTCAAATAATTATCATACACCCATCGTCGTGCATGGGATAATGGAAAAATTGCGAATTTATGAGATGATGTTTTAAAATATATAATTCATGCCGCCACATTCCTTCCTCCTGCACTCTTTGGAAAATCGGATTTGCCGACGTTTTATTGAGGTTTTCTCAGGTTTGGCAGAAATCGATAATTTTTAAGCATTTTAAGACATTCTAGAGCAATTCAGAACTTTGAAAAGCTTCAGAAGTTTTTCAATTCAATTTTCGATCCTCCTGGATGTGTTTGAGACAAATTGGAATCTTCAAGAACATTGTTAAACGTTACAGAACACTTCAAAACCAATTAAGAATTTGCGAAACATTTTAGAACAGACCAGAACACTTCTAAACTTTCGGCAACATTTTAAAAAGCTTTTGAAACACTCTAGAACACTTTACAAATCATATGGAACTTTTGGAAACAATCTAAAACTGGAAACTTTTAGAATATCTTAAAAATCGTCACATGACACTTTAGAACTAACTTAAGACTTCCATGAACATATTAGAACATTCTAAAACACCTCTAAACCTATTTACAATTTCAATAAAAGCGCTTAAAAATATTGGGGAGATATCTGATAACTTCTAGAATATTCCGGCGCTTCAAAAACAATAAGCATTCAATAGAAAACTTTAGAAAGCAGCCAATTTGGAACATTCCAAGCCGTGTAGGTGGGGTGCTTCTGGCAGCAAATAATTGCATTAAATCTCATCGCCTGTCAATTGGTGAAGCATCGCTGGAGGAAACATGATTGTTAGTGACGCTGGGTGACTTGGTCTTCTGTATTGGCTGTGTCTACATTCCACCTACCATGGATGTTTCGTATTATGAAAACCGCTTGAAATCGGTTGCGAATGCCTGTAAAATGTTTGATAATGTTCTTGTTTTTGAAGACTATAATCTTTCTCAAATAACGTGGTCCACTACTGAGGATCTCTCTGGTTTATTACCTGGAAATGCAAGGTCAGCTCAGTAAGATGGACCGATCTCTTGGATTTACTGTATACAGATCGCCAAATGTTTGATAGTCGGGAACTCCTTTTCCAGACACATACAAGATATTTTCCAGCTTTTTCCAAATCGCGTTTTCTTTTTCAGTTTCAACAAATTTTTTTCAGTGATTTTACCGGATCAGCAGTGAGTGAGCTAGGGCTCCAAGTTTTTTGTTCCAATTTTGCTTAGTGTCATCACCATAGTAAGAATGTGAGCCGGTGAGCCTTGATCAAAACATTGGATAATCCTGGAGGCCGTTTTCTATAAAGAACATGAAGGGGGATAAAGCGTTTCCTCTCTCCAGTTCCGTAACGTACCCATAGCTCCAATAATCCCTGAGTTGAAAAGAATTCAACAAATTCAAAGTAGCAACACAACAACATCTGTGTTATTTGACAGAACCAGGATTCGGCGTGACCCATTTCGAATTGCCCAGTCAACGTGTGACGCAATACGAAGGTCAGCTTCCTCCATTGTGCTATTCAACTGTTCAACAATACGACCTTCCTTATTCGCCGTAATTGCCCTAATAATTATTGGAAATTCGGTGTTCATCGAAAATTTGGCAATATTTTGTCGAGTTAAAATTTCTAAGTTCGTCTTATTTGGCAAAGACCAGAATTTGTCTAGTTGAACAAGTACGGGAGTAGAATTAGTTACATGCATGCGAGATCAATTGTTCCACGCGTAGACATTCGTCTGGTTCTCTCAGATTCCTTTATAGATAATTCTCGATAACTATCAAAAACGATATGTAGCTCCTGCAATGGACAAACTGCTTGCGACGTTTGCAGTACTGTACGGACCGCTGCTCCAAAGTTTGGCATTGAAGAAATTTCATTCAAAGCATTCGTAATTGCGACACATAATCCACAACAACGGCAGTTTGAAGGGGAGACATTTGGTCAAATCTTAAATCTTCAGGTGAGAGTTTTTTTTTTTAATTTCTTGCACTAGCCTGTGCTTGACTGGCTTTGCTGGGAAATCTCCATCAAATGAAGCATTATTGGTTGGATTGGTTGGCAGAAGATCATGCGACAGAATATTTTAGATTCATTTAACCCTTTCTTTCGTTACATCCAAATCCCTATGTGCCTGACAAAGGATTTTTTTGTTTCCCTTTGTGTAATTGCTGGTTCACTGTGGGATTTACTACTATGACTATCAAAGCGGGGATATTTACATTTGGATAATGTATCGAAGAAGCTTTTTTTGTTTTAGACACAAATATCTCTTGCTTGAACTCTTTATATAGTTCAAATGGACATTTAGAATACGTTTTTTTATATCGTCATTCACAAACTGTTTGGTCACAAAGTTGTGTAATCCCATAGGATGCGTCATTTCGAAGGGGTTTTCGTGTTGCTGCATAAAACGAACAAGGCGGCCAATGTTCTCATTAGAATGTTCTCCTCTTTTTCCTAGAAGCTCGTGAGGCACAGTTTCTCGATGATCCATTAGCTTCGAATTTGTAATGTCTCTAAAGGCATTGCATATCGAAAGGATTTCGTGGTATAGGTACCAGCTCCCACCAAGTAACATAGTCACACTTACGTGCCTGACCAACTATTCCCTTTGAGCTTTCCTGTGATCTTTGAATAGTTTCATATCCGGAGCCACATAATTGAATTTACCCTCTTTATCTTTTACTACAAAATGGCCTTGTATTTATTAAAGGAATTTGTTGTAAAGATATAGGTACATATCTTACGTAGTTTATGCAAACAAATTCGTGAAAAATAGGAACCAGTGACTTTACAGTTTTCACATACAACTCCCAATTGCCTTCCCGATCAGCATGAACCAAGTTCTATATTGAATTTATTATGTGAAACATTTCTCCAGTATTTGCATAGTTTTGTTTTCTCTCCACATTCCTTATCAAACGTTTCGAAAAGAGATTTCAAGTTCTGTGATTTTAAACATAATGCCTCGAACATTTTATGGCTCTGCAGCACGTCTTTTGCTTGAAGTGCATCTCGTGCTTTTGTCACCTCTGAAATCAGATCGTTATAATCTATAGTTTGTTGTTATTTTTCCAAAAGGCACTCCAACGCAATGTGTCTAGTGTTTCAGATATAATGAGCATACCTTGTAATGAACGCACGTAATGGGAACCACTCATCACTGATTGGACAGTTCTACTTCCATATGTTCCGGTCTCAATAAGCCCATCTTTTATCCAATTTATTTCACAACCACTAAGATAACTTCCTGCGCATCGCAATAATGCTACTTTCGTCATGTGAAAGGCACTCATCATAGGATAAAGATCACAGAAGTCTGCTGGATTGTTCATCAAAATTTCTGCAACAATGTGAAAAACAGCTTCATCACAGAAAACTGGTAGAGTAGGCTCTGGTCCTTAAGTTGAGCGCGAACATTTTGAAAGTTTTTTAGAGCTGTGAATACTGTGGAATAGTTTGTGACTGGAGACGGTATGACGGGTGAAAACCAAACTTTCTTCAGAATTTTCCTCATCTGTAACGTACAAGCGATATAAGAAATTCCTTTGCATTAGCTTCGGTTACTGCAGTATCAGTTAGCAATATTCATATATCTTTAGCGACTTGATAATCTTCTTATATATAGACTGGGACGTTTTAATGGTTTGTGGTAATTTTGTACTTTTTGGCAGAGAAGTTGCGTGGCAAGTTTACAGCTTCGTTTGTTAATTCCGGCGGCTTTCACAGATCCTTTTCCATTAACTACATAATTGCTAGAATCTTGGAAAAGTACCATCACGGTATCGTGTGTACTGATGTTCCAGACAAAGAAGAGCTGTCTTCAAAATCAAAGTTATCGAAAGTGGCAATTATAAATTCTTTTTTAGAGAAGTGTGACTTATTGGTATCGGCATGCTAATGGATTCTCCTGATTTTACTGCATATGCTGCCAATAGGTCTCTGCTTCTCACCACCTCGTTGTGGCTTGTAGAAACACCCAATGCTATTCATGGAAGAGATAAATTCTTTTATCCCTACCCACTGAGCAAGAAACATACTTGGGATGTTTTGTAACGTTTTTAAAATGAAACTCAATGAACGTTTTTTATGTAACGTAGTAAAGTCATATTTGTTACTACTTTTCAAAACGTTTTGCATATTCCTGTTTTCAGAACGTTATTTTGCAATTGTATTGGTTCTGTTGTAAAACAACATTCCAATAACGTGAAATGGATGTTTACCCTAGCAACGTTGAGTATTTAACGTTATATGGACAGTATATATTTACATTCTTGTTACGTTTCACGTGATGACATGTTTGTGATGTTTTCTGTTCTATATTTTCGTTTCGTTTCGAAATAAACGTTGCAAATTCGAAACTACCTTGTTTGGTAATATAACGTTTTTAATGTTGTTAGGTACAACATGCTTGATACGTCCCAAAGGACGTATCACTTTCATTATTTTCGAACAACGCCGCAGATTTGTTTAGATTCAGGTTAGAGGTTAGGTTAGGTCAGGCCTGCTGTGTAAAAATCGGTGTTTCTGGATTTTTATCAGTGGCGGCTCGTGACAATCCAAACTGGTGAGGCCCATGGCTCATCAAGTTAACCCAAACAAACCCAAACAAAATTTTCAAGTGTTACGCCCAAATTTTGACCCAAAATTTCATCAAAAGAACATCTCGGATATTTTTTTTTGTATATTTCTAATGAAAATTTTCATTTCTTACAGTTGCAAAACAACAGCAGTAGCTACCTAATTCTTATTTTAATACAAATATTGAGTTTCAAATTAACAAAATAAACAGTTTTTTAACCCGCAACAGACCAAAATAAAAAATATGAGCCAATTAACCAATTAAATACTTGTCGCAGCAGCAAGCGATGCAAGGTTTCTTATTAACAAGCCCAAAATTGTGCGCCTCAATGCCTATAAAAATTCGCTATCGTCTCACCTAGAGTTGAAGCGTTGTGGTGGGGAGTGCCGTGGCATCGCTTCTGCTTCGGCGTTCTGTGACGCACATGAGGCCAAAATTTTTGGGATTGCTATTTTATCTTAATGCTGTCCGGCAACGATTTGAGCGCCTATAAGGATAAATAGGTAGAAGCGCGCGCTAGATTCAAGAAATAGTATTATATTTTAATGAAAATTCGATGTTTTGATTCTTTTAATGATTGAAAATAGTTGAAAAACGTTAAATATTTAATAAATATTATTTCAAAATTTTACTATATTATTGTAATTTTTACATGTGAGGCCCGGCCTCAGTTGCTTTATACGACGAGCCGCCACTGATTTTTATTAGGTAAAATTGGGTAAAATATATAGGTTATTTTATGCTATAAAAATAATTTTAATTATAGATAACATCCTATGTGTTTCTTGGAGTGTTTTTTTTTTTGTGTGGTACTTGGTATAGGTAGGTATAGGTACCTACCTACATATTGTATTGTGCTCCTCTGAAACTGATGTGCTAAACCAAACAGGGCGAGTCTCTGAAGATGGATCTTAAAGTAAGTTTATTTTTTAACAAAAAATGTATGATGTATTTTGTTATTATTTTAGGTATTAAGGTTGTGCTGGTATCATTCTTACTTTTCAATATAAATACCTATACTTAAGTAGCAGGCAGAAATAGGGCCGAATTCTTAAGAAGAGGATTGGCCAATCCTTTCGCCAGTAAATTGTCTATATATTATACATTGTTCGTGGACTGGCCAAAAAAATTATTTCAAAATAAGGGATTTGCAAAATCGAGCATATTCTAAAAGGTTTGATTTTGATCTAAAATATTTTTTGATTGATTATTTAGTTTGTTTTTTCTAAGTCCTGACTGGTGAAGAGGTAACGGACAAAGGTGGTGATGAGATGGCTTATTCATTCGAATCAGCGCCTCAAGCAAAAATTCCGAAAGAATTAGTAAATTTTATCCTTTTAAGTCGGTTTATGTGTTTGTCTTCCACATCTTCGCAAGTATCTTCAATGTCATCACCCTGAGTCTTCAGCTTCTGCTCCGAATTCAGGAGCTCGTTTGAAACAACTTTGTTTTACTAACAATAAATAGAGATGAGAAAAATGTCAATGGTCAATACAGCATCTGACATTGTTACTGATTCCCATGATTTTTGTAGATCTGAGACATCGCAGAATTTGTCATTAAGTCCAAAGTCGCAGTCTTTCAAAATGTTTCTTAGAATTATTGTACCTGCTGATTTTACTGTATCTTGTGAGCGTATTTTTGCTGCGAGAACTTCAGAAGTTAGGTCAGTCAAGAAGACCATGAGTGGCTCATTTTTTCTATTGGACTCACAAAATCGAGTTTTGTCATTATAAACTCTAACCAAGAAAATCTTAACTTCATTATTATGAATCAGCACTGAATCATCAATATTAGCCACTCTCGTATCTCTGTTCAAATCATCAGCTACTCGAATAAAACTCTTCGTCTCTAAAATAACTAGCCGCTGATAAAAAAGTGTTTACTCTTTTGGACTCCTATATTCTGTATTTTTTTCTGTCGTTCGTCCCTTTGACCTTTATTCTGGCTGAACCACATATAACACAGGTTCAAATGAACTGATAGGGGTAGACGCGCAGAAGTCAAAGATCTTCTGAGTGGATGGCCTTAATCCTCAACTGTAGTATCTTCTGTAAAGGACTTGGGCTCTTCACTACATTGAGGTGTTTTTTGGTTGATTTATCCAAGGCTTTTTCAGTGTATATGATTTGTAGCAGTTGTTATTACAGTGGTAAACTACTTTGTCATCTTCAGTCATTAGTTTCAATCGTTTTTGAACATCATCTTTCCGTATTTCAGCGGCATCTCGGATTCTCTTCTTTTCATTTTCACTTGAGGTTACTGTTTCATTCGTATGTTAATTTGACATATTATTACGCATTTTGTCTTATCATATAGCTCTTCATATTTGGTTTTAAGTAACACAGAAGTAAGAGACGCTTTATTACCGACTGTATCATCCATGTTCAAGTAATCACATCAAGGAGAAAACCTGGAACAAACACAAAATCTATAAATATTGTAGTGGGTTACATAAAAATGAAACGCCATCGGTGTAAGGGTTAATCTGAAGGGTTGAATTTTAAAACTATTATATTTTTTGACTCTTAAGTCCTAATACTTACCTAGATTTTGACACCAGACTGAGGTCTGTAGGCTTTATAGTTCCTGAAATACAAAATATTACTGAAATCCTCCGCTATTTTTAAAAATAGCGCACAAAAATAAGTCGCGCCAAATTCGTGATGTCTACCCAAGTTAAATCACTTGTCTAATACACCTGAAATACAAATTTAAAATTCGTTTCTCTGGACAACATTTTTTTCACGAGATGATCCTGTGGGGCCTGGAATATTAGTCCCATTGATTCTGAAAATGAAAAACTTCGCAGATGATGGGAAGCCTTGAACAAATTCGCTAGTACATGCAGGGCAGCTAAAGGCTGACCTAAAAACTGTTGAAGAATGGTCTACAGACTGGGGAATGAGTCCAAATGTACAGTCTTAAGAATCGGTCCAAACGAAGAATATTATCTAAACAATGTGACACTTCAATCTGTGACAAATTAAAATCACCTAGAAGTTACTTCGTGATAGAAACAAAAGGCAAACTGTATGAAAGTTACATATTATGACCAAAACTTGAATACGCTTTCTCAGTATAGAATCCTTACTATGTCAAAGATACAAAAGTTCTAGAGAAGAAAAGACGAGTTACAAAAATACCACCAGAACTACGAGACCTTCCATACACAGATATATTGACACTACTTCGTCGGCACTTCAAGAAACTCAAAAAAACCGAGGAAAAAATCTAGAAGAAACTTTCTGAGCAACATAGTTGTTTATTCATGGAGCGCCCTGGGAGAACAGTGTCAGCACCAAGTATCAAAAATAGACTAGACAAAGAAGTCGAGAATAGAGCAGTTAGAATGATACACTACTACAGTGAATAAACAGTTTTCAATACACATACAAGAAAAACATCAGATTTTAAAACGCAGCAATAGCTTCATGCTATTGGACAAATAACATGATGACATATAAGTGACAGCAATATAATTGGTAGACGATTACCAACAGTTCCAAAAGGCAATTACAAACAGTCAATATGAACAGTAAAAAATTACCAAAATCTCCCCGACATTTATTATTCTCCTCATAAAATAGTTAAAAATTTCATCATAGAGCAATATTTTTGCACAAAAATAATTCAATAATCCCTTATTCAATAACAATAAATTTGGCAACAATTAATAAGCCCAATAAACTAGCAAAAACACATTATAAAAAGACTTCCTGACTAATCCATGATTCAGTGTTTAGTCAAAGGGTGCCAAAATGCAGACTCTAATTCTTGTTATAGTTTTAGCTTTAATTTCGCAACTTGTTGGAAAACCAGCTCTCAAAGAAAAATCTACTTTGAGGCTTTTACATGTTGTAAGTAATTTGAATCCAATTTCAGAGTCTAATCCAATTAGCTATAGCTTTTCAGGCACGGTAACAGAAATCCAGAAGAAACTTCCATGTGGTCATCAAACTCTTTTTCAAACGCATCAAATTATCCTGAGGGCTGGGGACAGCTCACCAATGTAACTTCTTCATTTTTAATTTATATTTATAATCATTACAATCCAATCTAGAAAGGTAAAATGACTGAATACAAGCTAGGCCAGTTCTACAGGGAACGCTATGATCAATTCTTGGGCGATACGTGGAACATTGATTACGTAGATTTTAGATGTGACAATTATGACCGCACCAAAATGTCTGGGGAACTTGTAATGGCTGGATTATGGCCTCCAAGAGGTGCGAACGTGTGGAATAAAGGCCTAGCATGGCAACCAATACCGTTCGAATATGTCCCATTAAACAAAGACCCTGTAAAATAATACCAAATTATTTTAATCACTTGGTATATTTTATAGTTTTCAGCTCTTGTATCCAATTGTTAGCGTACAGTTCCAATTTGATTTTGCTTTAACATTCCTGTCTGGAAAAATTCAATCTCACTTGGCAAAAAAATATGGGGAAGCAATGAAAATTTTAAGTCAAAATACTGGATGTTCTGCAACAAATTATGCTATTGGTTCGGCGTATTATGATACTATGATGGTGCAAGAGGATTTGGGTTTTAAATTAGACTCTTGGACTACCCAAGTGTATCCAGAACCATTAAAATCGTTGGCAGTTGATATTTTTTATGTTATGACAAATAATACTGTTTTGAGAAAGAAAATGGCAGGTAGGTATGGACCAATAATAGAAGATATCTATGAATGAGGAATTGGTTATTGTTTTAGGTTCTTTGCTGAAAAAGGTGATAACAGACACTTATTCTTTAATCCATGGTACTTTATCGCCACCTACACGAAAAATGTTTGTTTATTCAGCACACGACACCAACGTTGGCTCTATGTACCTGTCTTTGCAAGCTTATAAGATGGATCAACCACCGCCATACGGTTCTTCCTTCATTTTTGAGGTTCACGAAATTGAAGGAGTATGGGGACTTAAGGTAATAATTATTATCATCAGTTTTAAGTAATTATTTGAAATTGTTTTTTAGTTGTTCCTTGTTGACTACACTAAAGGAAGTCCACACTCCTTGACCATACCCGGCTGTGAGGAATTTTGTCCTATTGATGAATTTTATTCTTTGGTTGATGACATTTTACCTCTAGATTAAACAAAATTTGGAAAGGAAAAATTATGCTTTATTAATGTTACAATTTCAATAATTAGTATCATGCACTCATTAAAAAATTAGTATTATTTAGACATTTATTTGTAGAATTCATGTTCGCTTTCATCCTTCTTAATGTTGTTTTTGTAACCTTTTTCAAAGTCCTTGGGCAAAACAATGTAGCGATTTTCACGCACAGCGTGCATACCGGCTTCCTGGCAAATTGCATTGATGTCAGCGCCAGATATTTTATCAGGCCTTGCAACGTAATCTTCCAAATCAACTTCTTCAGATAAATTCATTTTGGAAGTAATAGTGCTGAAAACTAAACGCTTTTGTCTTCTGTCTGGAAGCGGAAATTCGATTTTCCTGTCCAAACGTCCAGGTCTTAGTAAAGCTGGATCCAATGTATCGGCACGGTTAGTTGCCATGATGACCTGAAAGTTGATTGGTTAGAAACTTGATTTTTGTTGACCTATTTATTACCTTAACGTTGGTGGTTTGATCAAAACCATCCATTTGATTCAACAATTCCAGCAGGATTCTCTGTACTTCACGATCAGCACCGGTTTGAGCATCGAAACGTTTTGTAGCGATAGCGTCGATTTCGTCAATGAATATAATTGCTGGAGAGTTTTCCTTAGCTAACCTAAATACGTCTCTGACCATTCTAGGTCCTTCTCCCAAGTATTTTTGGACGAATTCAGATCCTACTACTCTGATAAAAGCAGCTAGATGCAGAAAAATAAAAAATCTAGTATTTTATGTGTAAAACGAAAAATTTTGTTGAAATTTCATTAATTCAGGATCTAATTCTCTCAAGTGAAAAAATGTTAAACAATTTAAACGAAAAAACTTTTGCTGATCTGGATGTTAATGAGTGAATATAGAGACAAAGACTTGGATTCAAATGTAAGGTGTAATCACCTAAATATTAGTTTTACTGTGTAACTAAAAAGCGGCCATAGAATGGGAAATAGTTTCCTACAAGACTATGATAGTTCTTTGAAGACTTCAAGTAACAATTTTCATGAACCGCTACAAAGAAGCTAAGCATTGAAAGAAAGAAATGGCAGTTTTATATTTTGCCTATATACAACACTAGTTTTGTGTTTTCTACAAAGAATAGTGTGTGAAAATTTCTTGCTTCTGTGATTTAAACCAGTCCGGCCTATCAAACTTGTACGGTATACATAAATAAAGTGTACATACAGTAACATTGACCTTGGATGTAAAACATCCCCTCAAAAAGATTGTCCAATTCTTACCAGTTGTATGATGAGCTACAGCTTTAGCCAACATAGTCTTTCCACATCCAGGTGGCCCGTACATCAAAACACCTCTTGGAGGATCAATTCCAATCTGCTTGTAAAGTTCAAAGTGCGTCAAAGGCAGTTCTACAGCTTCTCTGATTTCTTGTTTCTGCATGTCCATGCCACCGATATCACCGTAGCTGACATCGGGTTTTTCGTCGGCTTGAAGCATGCTTATGGAAGAATCAGCTTCAGGTGGTAAGACGTCGACCAGCGCATTGCTGTGTTTATGCAGAGCCACGCTGGCGCTGGGTTTCAGCAATTCCCTGTCAATAGTCGATAGAATTCTGACGTAATAGTTTGAGCCTGTAGTGGATCCCACTATGCCAGTGTTTTGGTCTACAGCCTCTAAAAATTGGCCGATGACCAGAGGGACTGATTGGATTCTTTTCACCTCTTCCTGAGCGTGCAGGTATTCTTTTTTCAAGTTTCTCTGTTCGTCTTTGATGTATTCTTCTTGAACTTCGAGGAACTCGAGCATTTGTTGCAGTTTTTTGTATTTTGTGTAGAGGTCTTCAGTGTCTGCATCTTGGAGAGACTGTTTGGTGTTGTCAGAAGGACTACCTTCCTCCTAATAATTTAATTGGTATGAAGCAAATTAAAATTTACATGACTAAATTTAAAATATCGACATTAATAAAAGTATTGTCTAGCATTCCTAGATGTGAACAGAGGGGATTGAGACATTGGTATAGAGAGTTGATAGTTGTGATGTATACTTTGTATGCCTACAAAAATTACCTGGTTTTGAGTAGGCATGAATTGAATTGTGTGTTTTTTAGGTATATTGGTATTTCCAGTTTTATACTTCAAAATTAAGAATTAAACTTAATTAGAAACTAAAATAAAAATTAAGATGCTAAACCTTCATAATTTGATGCTGTAGTTCATACCGAGGTTCATACCTCAAATTATGATGTTTTTTGACATGCATGAATGCAACTGAGAATTAATATTATTTTGCAAGATTTTGATCAGATTATTGAATAAATTATTGAATAAAAATATTGAATTTGAACAAAAAATCACGTGACTCAAAATGTCCTCTCATTAGCTATAGAGAGAGCACATTTTTGAATTAGGTATATTTTTTTTTGAATTCTGTGGGTAAAAGAATCATACCATTTTTTCAATTTTGTCCCAAATCGATTTAAGGTCTGTTCTCACAAGAGTCTCTGACAGTTTGCAAACTGTCAGAAAGCGTCGCCCGTACATGTTTTCAATGCCGTCGTGCCAAAATAAATCGGTAACTTAGCTGAGCGATTGTTTCTGACTGATTGCAAACTATTAAAGGCTCTTGTGAGAACAGACCATTAGTTTTTGATATACACTTATTTGCAAATTAAAATCAAAAGCGCACGAAAACGGCTATTCAGTTGTGACGTCATTTTAAGTATAGTGCGGCGTTGTCATTTGTATTGTGTAGTACAATTGTAATAACGCATTATCCAACTTCACTTTTTGTTTACTGCTGCTTAATGTTTATCTATTATCATTATTATTGAAGTGAAACTTCTTTGCTGAGGGGGCGACAATTTTCGAAGGTAACGAAAATTCCGATCGCGTAAGGGGAGTATGACAGTATGTCAGCGGCGACCAGTGGGGGAAAACGGACACGCTTGGGAGACGGTAGGACTGGTAAAAGGGGAAATGGATGCCTAGCGTATACACGGTTACATGCGGAGATTTTTAGTGCCATAGAAAGAGACGCCAATTTGATAGGCAAAGGCATCAGTGGAATAATGACAGAGAAAAAACTTGCTGTAGCAGATTCCGCTTCCCCTGGCCCGAGGACACAAGAAAACACTTTCTTGAGACAAGGGAATAAGCATTGACCTCTTAAGCAAGGATAGACATCACAACCTTTTCCTAATCGAAATCATAAATGTCGAGATAAATGTACCCTGATCTCGACCCTGGTATTCACAAACAATAATGCATTATTGCCATATCGACAGAAAATAATAATATCAGGACATAAATTAAAATTGTGAACATAGTTCGTATAATTTTCTGAAGAAGTTTGAATACTTAATACACAGAGAAACTATTTTCACTGATCATAATGTCTTTTTTCGAATGTGGATATTTGAAGAAACTTAGGAAAATCCGTGCAAAAACAGTAACCATCCTCAAAGAAGCCACTCTACAAATCAAACCGGCAACGCTGTTGGAGTATCCTTCAATTTTTTCATTCATTTTCAGCTTATGTCCGTAGCACTTTACCTGCTCTAAGATTTTCAGTAACGAACATTAGTGTGGATGCCGAGTCGATAATTCTTGTTTTTAGCTTCCTTTTGGAGTGTATGATAAGCAAGGATGATACAGACTACTACTACAGGATGGCCTATCCTCATAAGGCCTGTGTGGAACAAATACCCCCTCCAAAAATGTATCCTTATCCTTACATGTTACATGCTTTTAGAAAAAAATGCAGATACACTAAGTGCGCTCTGATTGACAAATGGAAATCGCCATTAGTTATGACGTCGGAAATGGTGATACACCAATATGGCGGCGATTACCAAAAACGAGGCTTATAAGCAATCCTGTAGATGTGTATCATCCTTGTATGACAAGGTCGCTCGAAATCGATGTTGCCAAAACATGATAAACAATTTTTCTTGAGATCTGGTTCCTGACTGTTGGCGAAGTAATTTTATGAATGACTTGTGGTGTCTATCAGAGTGTCTATCCTTGGTTAGAGGTCAATGGAAATAAGTGATTCCTCATTACAAAGTTGCTAAATGCATCGTAATGTGTACTATCTATGCACAATGCATGGCTATCCATAATCATGCACGGTGCATAAATATTCTATGGAACAGCAATGCTGGCTAGACTTTTTCGACGTTGCTCGTCGTCGTATTGGAAGTGGAACAGGGGAAATCATTCTCGTTCTCTATTTAACCTTAAGACTTTTTCTAGACATTTCATGCTTCAAAATTTGCCTGTGAAATGTTGAATTGCCAAAACTGTATAGGATTAAAATGACAATCCGACAACGCAGGTAACATATTTAAGAGTTGTGACTTGAACCAATCAAAATCGTTTCTGAAAATTTAATGTTGATGATTTTCAATTTTAAATTTCTCAGAAAATAATAATTCGTACAGGATCCTAACTGCTAATGGTTTCTAGAGATACAGATTTCAAGAAAGATTTGGCAACATGGAGACAAACCTTCAAGTTCATTGAACTATAGTCTGTTCCATTACCTTAATGGATTCATTGCAGGTGATAGCTCAAATCTAGGTTTAGGACCATAAAGTCATTGTAAAACCATTGTCAACCATGGGGTTTACAATGACTTTAAAGGCAATAATGAGAAGAAGGTTTTAGACCACTGATGACGTGTCAACTGTCGAATGTGACGGGTGCAGATTTTAGAACCATTTCTTTGTAACGGATTTTGCTGAAATTTTGCATACACCTTAAGTTCGGGTGATAATACATTTTATCCCATTTTGACGTTTAAAAATGACATTATTGAACGCATAATGACAAAGGTAAGTAGACGTTTATCACCTGAGTGACTTAAAATATTTTTAACTCACTCTCGGTCTTTTAAGTCAATGTGCCAGTATAAAAATCTGCTACAAATACAAACAAACAACTAGTTATACCTTAGCAACCACCAATTTCAATAATTAGCGCTTTCATAACTACTAAATGAATTCTTTTTATAATTTGATTCCTTACTTTTTAAATGTCCATCAAAATGGGATAAAATTTTGTATAAATCACGTGAGTTAAAATGTTTATTCATTTAACTCACTGGTGTATAAATAACTATTAGACCCCTAATGACAGGTGTCAACTGTCAAATGTGATATTTTAAGGAATACTTATCGCTAATGCTTCCTTAAAATGGTCGGTGCAAACGGCCATAAGACCCACCCTCAATCTTGAACGGTTTCCCTACAATGGAATACAAACACAACAGGATGTTACACATTTCGGCTCGAAGAATCCACAGGAGCTATACAAAGACCTCGACAAAGACAGATATTATATCCTAAGGATATATTATATCGATTCACATGGAAAACGGGTTAAATTAGATAAAATAAATTGCGTCATTAGTTTAGAATGGACACTTGTCACTATTTGAAAAGTCTATCAAGTCAATTCTAAACGTCCAAGACTTTTTCAAGGTTCAAAGAGACCTCAAGCAGCAACTATAAATTTGGGCCTAAGGGACTGATTTCGAGTTTATCTCAACGTTAAGGGTGCCTTGGCTAAATCTTGATTTTAGTGTAACATTGATATACCGACCCTGGCCTAAGATCCGCTTTGATTCAAGGGCATTTTGATATACAGTTAAACTTGTATAAAGCCGGCTACAGACGGTCCGGCGAGCCTGTCAGTTCGAACTGAATAGTTAGCCTGAAGGCCGGTTGCCGGGGAGACTGATGACCCTCCAAATGTTCAGGCAAACCTGAAATATTCTTCAGTCTCAGTCATCATGTAGTATACATTTTTTTAAGAATAGAGTCGACTTCGTACAAGAAGGATCAATTTCCTTCCATTTTTCTACCAATTTAAATAAGCCGCTTCTTTCTTGCCATGGCCGTGAAAGGTTTTTCGATTTGACTTGCCAGAGACACAACTGGCTATGATAAGTCGAGATAAATTTTGATTCTATTTCGTGCAACATGGCGTAACAAGCTCACTACTTACTACTGAACGACTGAACTATCTGAACTGATGGTCCGACAGTCGACCGTGCCATACACACGTTCAGACTTGCCTTTGAGTATGTCAGGCTGGCCGGATGAACGAACACATTTTTGATTTCCGACTGCCTGAACAGTTCTAACTGACAGATCGACCGGAATATTAGGCAATTCAATCCATCTGTCAGATAGGGAAATTCAATATGGCGTGGTGGCCAAACAAGTTTGTTTTGAATGTGTTTTTATGCGTATTTCAAATTATTTTGCTTAGAGTTTTGCTTGCAACTTTGATTTGGACTATTTAATAAAATATTTGTTGACTAGGTACCTAAACTAATAAATCGAGCAGATTCTAGATATTTTTTTCTGTTTTTTGGCCCATGTGTGGCCGCCACGCCATCTTGAAAGTCACCTGGTTTGAATTGCCTAATATACACGTTCAGGCGACCGGTCTTCAGTCGGACTCTTCAGTTCAAACTGACAGGCCTGCTGGACCGTGTGTAGCCGGCTTTAGGGATGGCTCAGTTATTCTGTACCTCAAGGTGAAATACCAGCCCTTACATGGGAAAAAGTTATCGTTAAGGCTTTCTTTTCTATGTGTAGTTTAATTTTTAATTTTGAAGTATAAACCAGCTATATATTCAAGGGCTGGTTTCTCAATAGCAAGTCACACCAGGGTCCCCGGATAAAGCATAACTCTAGGGTAAACATTGCAACTGCACACGCTTACCCTGGAGTTAAAACCAATCTGGAGGTAACTCGCTATTGAGAAACCATCCCACTGCAAAATTGGTAGGATCAGTTTACGAAATTGTTCCAAGTTTTCACCAACCCAATTTTGCAACAAAAAATATTACAGAATTTGAAAGTTTCGAACTAACCTTTTCTGGTAGAACTACATCCATAGCTTCCATTTTCGCTATTTCAAATTTTTTCCGGAGTTTAGATGTTGTATGATGACTTTCTAAAATTTCTTGCTTTGTTTTGGATTTGGAAATGACGAACATTTGACAGAATGAGGTTATGTTCTCAATCTCTCTTCTGACCGTGCGTTCGGTATTTTGATCTGAGTTCTCCGAGCATGAATTTATCTCGTTTATTTAAAAAGTGTACTCGGACTCGGTGCAGGCTCATTCACGATCGTTTAATAAAATTTCGAGCCCTTTGATACAGCGTTTAACTGCTCTGTGCTCTGTGCGCTCGCTGGTCACGCGATTACGGCTCCGGCACGCTCTGCTCTTTGAGCAAATACCGAACGCAAGGCACATTTTGTAAAAAAAAGAAGAAGAAAAATACAATCGACATGACATAACCACAAACAAATATCTACCACTCGATTTCAAAAGTGTACACAGTTTTTTTCTATTTTCTTCTATAATTTCAACAAAGAAATGGTAAGTTTCAGCATTTTTCCAAAATAAATAAACCACTAAATAATCTTCCAACTAGGGCAAGACAAAAAAAACTCGTAAAATCGCCGTAAACCGATTCGCCAAAATGAAGAAAATGATTAGCCCGAGCGACCCCAGAATCAAAGCGTCGCTGAGGGCGCCCCCGAAACGTAAAAAACCCGAAGACCCTCATCAAATCAAAGTGCACGAAGCCCCGCAAGCCAGCTCGGCTTTGTTTTTCCAATACAACACCCAATTGGGACCGCCTTACCACATTTTAATCGACACCAACTTTGTTAACTTTGCCATTAAAAACAAACTAGATATAATACAAAACATGATGGACTGCCTTTACGCTAAATGCATACCATACATAACAGATTGTGTCCTGGCTGAATTGGAAAAATTAGGACAAAAGTACAAAGTGGCTTTGAGAATAATAAAGGATCCTAGATTTGAAAGGATCCATTGTATGCACAAAGGGACATATGCTGACGATTGTTTAGTTCAAAGGGTCACTCAACATAAATGCTATATTGTTGCAACAAACGATAAGGACCTCAAAAGGAGGATAAGGAAAATACCTGGGGTGCCAATAATGTATATTTCCCAACACAAGTTTACTATTGAGAGGATGCCCGATGCTTATGGGGCACCTAAAACATAGTAGAATACAAATGTAATAAAAACTTGATATATTTGGATTTTTTTATTACGTACACAACTACAGTTTGAACTGAACATGCATTAATATTTCCCAACTCCTTTCCTTTTAATTTTCTTATTGAGCATCTGCAGTGACGTCACTAGAAAAAGCCTTGCTTTTTTTCATTCGGTGGGTATTATTGCCTATCTTTATTTGTAACATACAAAATAACAAAGACAAATTGATCGATGGACGGAAGAAGGAGAGCAAAGAAGTTGTTTACTGACAACAAGACAAAAACATAACCTCAAAAATATTTGTTATCTTTTATCAAAAACATTACTTTTCCACTTTACTTCCAAGTAAAAAAATATGCCAGCATAAGCAAAATAATATTGTTCCATAAAATCCAAGAAAAAACATGGACCTACAATATTGGTTATTTGTAGGCTCGGCCTTAGGATTTTCTTTAGTGCTAGCGGTAAGACTCTTTTATTACATGAAAACGCGATAATTCACAAAGTTGGTTTGCAGTTTTGTATTATAGTGAAGTCAATTTCACAAGCATACCATATAGTGTATAGATCGAAAAAAGAATTACACTTTTATGACCCTGTCAACGGCGAAGAAATAAAATTTCCCAGTATTAATGATAATCCCAGTGTTAATTTGAGTATAGTTGTTCCTGCTTATAATGAAGAAAAGAGGCGTAAGTATCCAATACAATAGTAACGTATTAATATTGAGTAAAAGGGACAAGTGCTCTTATCACTCAATAATAATAAATGCGTTTATTTAGCAAATAATGTGCTTAAATATAAAAAAATTAAAAAAGGTTCATTATACACACTTGTTGCATAAATAGTTATAAATTCTGTTAAATACGAAATCTTTCCGCAGACCCAAAAATCCCTCGCAATTGGCCCAAAATTCATAAATCGGTCAACGCGGCCGTTTTTCAGTTTATACTAATACACTTTCGATTATACTTATAAGTAACAGTCTAAAATCAAATTAAAAGATTTGTGAAGTCACCTGAATTTCTCCGAAATCACCCGAAATCCTTCAAAATCACCCGAAATCCTTCGAAACCACCCAAAATCCTTCAGAATCACCCAAAATGCTTCAAAATCACCCGAAATCCTTGGAAATCAACTGAAATCCCTCAAAATCGCTCTAAATCTGAAATCTTGTCACAGTGAATGATCCCTCCAAATCTTTCCGAAATCCTTACCGGAATCACCCGAAATCCTTCAAAATTGCTCTAAATCCGAAATCTTGTCACATTTTTACCTTAGTGAATAACCCCGCGGGTTTAATCAAGGGTTTTATTAATTTATCTTAGTTATTAATCTCGAGATTACTTAATCCTTAAAACCTGTAGGCATAGAAAATAGATTTATGTGTAGAACTAATAGAACAGTCCTTAAGCATCCTCTGTGGTATAGCAATCTAATATGACAAACAAGATTGATGAACTTAAGGTAAGCATACAAAAACACCCAGGGCTGCAAAATTCTTATCACCGAAACATGGTTGAATGATCACATTCCAGATACCCTAATCTTAGATTTCCTGATCCATATACCAGGTACATAATGTTCCGCAAAGACAAAGCAGCAGATGGAGGAGGCCGGTGTGTTTTTGTACAAAATTATATTGTAGGGTACTTAGAAATTTCATGCAACAATCAACCAACATTTTGCCACCACAGGACCCATTGAATCCCTATGGCTTGATATTGCCTTAAGGGCCAAATTATGGAACACAACCATAGAAAACATAACACAGAACTATTACAAGTTATTGAAAATGCAATGTCACTTGAACAGACATTGTATACAGTGTGTCCGCAAAGTAACGGATAAATTCATTATTTTGAAAACGGTAGAATTTTTGAAAAATCGCTCAGACACGTCAATTTTGTTTTTTTGTTTGAAATTTTTTGATATATTTTTTATTATACAGGGTGTCTCAAAAATAGCTCCACTGCTATCAACTTTGTTCTTTCAAATGGATCACCCTGTATAATATGACATTTATGGATTCTGCGGAAAATTTTTGACATATTTCATGTACAGGGTGTTTCAGATTCGAGCCACATCATTGGGATCTCGGAAACGGTAAGATATACAGGGTTGGTTAAATGGGAGCAAAGTTGCGTAATTTGATGCTTAACAAAATGCCGCTTTGATATTTAGGATATTCCGAATACTTCCGGAGATATCCGAAAAAAACCGAAATTTTGCAAAATTGTTTTTATTTTTTCCTGACTTTATTTGGAGTGATATTCCAAAATAAATGTCATTTCATCATTGCTACCTTTTCTCCCCTACAAGATGCTACCGAGGATGCTACCATCAAATTTGAAATCTGACGTTTCGTCTTTGGGCCACCATCATCAACTTCATTTGTTTAAATACGGACCCTTATTTTTTTTAAAAGATTTCACAAACCTCTGATGTCCTAAAACTAATGACGTATTGCACTTATTCAAAAAATTTATATTATTGGTACTTTCCATAAGAACCAAATGTGTTAAAGAGAAACAGAGAAGAGAATTTTGGTAGGAAATTACTAAAAAATAGAAAAAATATTTTTTCGAATAAATGCGATACGTCATAGGTTTTGGGACATCAGAAGCACTAAAAATCTAAAATAAAAAATCCAGGGTCGTATTTAAAAAAATAGAGTTGATGATGGTGGCCCAAAGACGAAACGTCAGATTATTAATTTGATGGCAGCATCTTGTAGGGAAGAAGAAGTGGCTATAATGATGTGATATTTTTTTTTGGAATATCACTTCAAATAAAGTCAGGAAAAAATAAAAACAATTTTGCAAAATTTCGTTTTTTTTCGGATATCTCCAGAAGTATTCGGAATATCCTAAATATCAAAGCGGCATTTTGTTAAGCATCAAATTACGCAACTTTGCCCCCATTTAACCAACCCTGTATATCTTACCGTTTCCGAGATCCCAATGATGTGGCTCAAATTTGAAACACCCTGTACAATGTCATATACCTATCTTCAACTGTTTCGGAAATATTGACTGTTGAAAATTGATTTATTTGCAACTTTGAAAGGCTGTAAAACCTGAACGGTTAATTTTAGAGGAAAACCCGAGGGAAAACCGATTTTACATTATTATCTTAGATTTTCATAAACTATCATTTGACACCAACTTTGAAGTTGATCCATAATTAAAAATTCCGGCTAAATTTAATCTCCGTGTAAATTCAAAGTTGGTGTCAAATGATAGTTTATGGAAATCTAAGATAGGAATGTGAAATCGGTTTTCCTCTAAAATTAACCGTTCAGGTTTTACAACCTGTCAAAGTTGCAAAAAAATCAATTTTCAACTGTCAATATTTCCGAAACAGTTGAAGATAGGTATATGACATTGTACATGAAATATGTCAAAAATTTCCCGCAGAATCCATAAATGTCATAATATACAGGTTGATCCATTTGAAAAAACAAACTTGATAGCAGCGCAGCTATTTTTGAGACACCCTGTATAATGAAAAATATATCAAAAAATTTCAAATAAAAAAACAAAATTGATGTGTCTGAGCAATTTTTCAAAAATTCTACAGTTTTCAAAATAATGAATTTATTCGTTACTTTACGGTCACAGTGTATAATGGGAGATTTCAACTGCTCAAATGAACTGGAAAACATTGGAAGTGTAACCACACAACCCTCGACACAACCAGTGTAGTCAAGACTTTCTGGACAGCTACAAAAACCATATAGGACTCTAATAGTTGGGGAGCTGGCGTCAAAAACATGCAAGAGTTTTCGCAAGGCGGATATTTTCAAAATAGGTCGTACTTTAGTGCTAGAATGCTAGTGTACAGTCAGCACTCACAGTTCCCGGACAGCTGGCTCTGGGACGCGGGCAAAGTTGTGATTTTAAGAAGCATCTAAACTGTTTTCTCAAAGCTCAAAATTTATAGAAATTTTGCACATTATCTGTTTGAAGGTCACAGATAAACGTATGTAAATCGTCAGACGTCTAGTTCGTTGCAAAAAGGGGGTCAGACGTCCTCAAAGTTCTTATTTTATGGCATTTTCTTCGGTGTCCTGTCAAAATATATTTTTGCAGGTATTTGACAAATATATTTGAAGAAAATGCCATAAAATAAGAACTTTGAGGACGTCTGACCCCCTTTTTGCAACGAACTAGACGTCTGACGATTTACATACGTTATCTGTGACCTTCAAACAGATAATGTGCAAAATTTCTATAAATTTTGAGCTTTGAGAAAACAGTTTAGATGCTTCTTAAAATTACAACTTTGCCCGCGTCCCAGAGCCAGCTGTCCCGGAACTGTGAGTGCTGACTGTACACTAGCATTCTAGCACTAAAGTACGATCTATTTTGAAAATATCCGCCTTGCGAAAACTCTTGCATGTTTTTGGCGCCACCTCCTGGACTATAACATTTAAATTTTTCTACAAGGTTCCGGAATGTCCAAACATCTCTTCTAGACCTGCCTATTTTAAATGAGAAATTAATTTTCAATAACATGCACCAAAGAAAATTACTAACAGTACCAGTATCAAATACTGATGTATCAAAATAATAAGCTGAAAAGTTGTACAGTCACAGCAAGAAAACAATATGAACAAAATCTGTTGAATACCAAACATTTTTTTTCTCGGTTTTTTTCCTATGTTGAATCTAACCCTAACTCAAAAAACTCCCACTTCAGTATTGTTGCCAAAGCAACTCTAGTCCCATTTGAATCTGACCAGCAGGTTGCAGAGTGTTTTTACTATACTCAGACCTACAGATGTTAGATCAACACTTCCAGTTGAATTCTACTCCAGAATAAAATTTTACCCCAGAAAAAGTAGAAATCGCCAATTAGTCCCTAAAGGTGAACTTCAGTCCTGGACTTGAGATTCCTCCTATATCCACTCTAAAGGGGCGTCTGGCAGCACTTATGAATGACATAATATCCAAAAGAGATTTTCCACAACCTTGGAAAAAAGCAGTTGTTATACCTATATTCAAACAGGGTTACAAAAAGCTAGTAGGAAACTGCAAACCGGCAAGCCTGACTAGCGCCCTATGTGAATATATGAATAAAATGATTATAAGGAATTCACAAGCTTTTTCCTCAATGCTCATATTGTACCATCCCAACATTCCTAACAACATGGTTTTCTCCCCAAATAATCTACTTTCAAGAACCTTCTAACCAGGCTCAATATATGGACAAAGGCGGATGATGATAATGATCCAATGATCCAATCGATATAGTTTTCCTTGGCGATTAGTTGTGACTTCTTGAGGAATTTCTTACTGGACGTACCTTTCAGGTTAGGACAGGAATATCACTCTCAGTTGAGTACTTTGTACACACTACACAGTGGCGTACTTCAAGGCTCAGTTTTGCTTTACTTGGTGTATTTGTGTAACTTATATCAAAAACTCTAGACCAAATATGAATTGTTTGCAGATGATACAAGCCAGTTTGCAGACCTCCAAACAGACCTGTAGGTACACCATCGAAGAGTGGAAAATGTCTTGGAACATGCCATTGAATGATTTCAAGTGCACCGTTCTACATATCAGTCAAAATAACCGTGAACATGATTACCTTCTCTAAAAAACACCAATTAAAAAAGGTTTGTGCCATAAAGACCCAGGAATAACAATGACATCAGACTCAAAATGGGAACAACACATCATTGAAATTACAAAAAAGCCAATTCTTTAATCTACCTTATTCAAAAATCTGTCTAAAAAAATGATTCTACAAAGCTTATGTAAGACCAAAGTTCGAATACGCCCATTCCATCTAGAACCCAATTAGAGTCCGCATCAGCAGTAAAGACTACGGTGACGACATGAAAAGCTGCGTGAAGCAGGTCGGATCTCTCTCCCTCGTCTATCTCTCGCTGTCTGCCGTGACCTCGGTCGTGAGCTGAAACCAGCAGCGGGGTATCTTTTTAGACAAAACTTGGATACAAAATAAACTAAATAAATATGCCTGCTGGCCGTACGACAATGAACCACGTGCTTGGCGTTCGGCAGCAGCACCCATCGATACGATAGTTCGGTTAGTATTCAAAATTGGATTTGTGCGCATATGACGACAACGTACTCTTTACTCTTGACGCGGACTTTACATCAAAAGACATTGAACTGATTGAGAGAGTACAGCGCCGTAACACAAGGATACCTAATGAACTCAAAGAGTTACCCTAGAAGAGCCGCCTCAACCAACTAAACCTAACTACGTCACTATGACTGGCATGTGACATTAACAGCAATTTAAGGTTTCCAGAATTCATAGACTTAGAGGTCATTCAAGATAACATTGAGCCAGAAATTGGTATGATTCAAAGGGATTTGTGATTTTTATTTCTACTTTGATCCACAAATAAATCATTAATTTCCTATGAAATCACCTCGGAAATCACTTTTAAAGACCTATAATAAATAATTTGATCCATCACAGTGGCTTGGATATTTTCATTTGGGCGGGGATCTTTTCAAAATGGTTAGGCCAAAAGTTGACATAATGGGATTCGTTTTTTATTTTTACTTTATTGTTCCAAATATCATAAAATTCTTGTGAAATCATCATCAACTTCTCGCAATAGCAACGTATATACAGGGCGAAAAAGAAAGAAGTGCGTTTTATCCCCTGTATCTTCAATGGTTTCCAAAATCCCCATGAACTTCAACTTATTCTAGAAAAAGCAGCGGTCCTAAATTCTACCTCGGGGTACTGGGTGTTTGTTCATAACTGGAACACTCAGTAACTTTCTTATTATTGAAAATAAATTGCATGTTTAAGTTGGGAAATTTCTTGGTAAATTGCAACTTTAAGCAATACAACGATATTTTTTTGTCGTCATAGGTGTACAGGGTGCGTTAAAAAGGTATTTTTTTTTAAATGGAACGCCCTGTATATTTTTGTTATTCAAAAGTGTTTGATATTTTTGTGAAGCTAATTTTCTAATAATTTCAAAAATGCAAAAATATACAAGGCTTCCTATTAAAAAAAAAAAAACTTTTATTGGCGCACCCTGTATACCCATAGCGACAAAAAAATATCATTGTAGCGATTAAGATCGTTGCAATTTGCCAAGAAATTTTCCAATTTAAACATGCCCTTTATTTTCAATACTAAAAAAGTTACTGAGTGTTCCAGTTATAAACAAACACCCTCTACACCAGCAGCAATGGTTTCAATGGTTTTGGGAAAAAATGGTTTATTTTAACTTCTTCTTTGCACTTTTTTTAAATTATCATTCATCCATTTATGTTCAGTACCCCTCATCCCAATTAGTGCAGTTTAATTAAATAATTATTCCCTATCAACTTTTTCAAATGCTCTTTTCAATTCTAGAAATACATCCGACACAAATTAATAAAAAACGTTGTTTATGCATGCCCCAGAAGCATCCTGTGCTACTTAATTTTGAAGTTGTATAAATATAAAAATTTACCCAAAAAAAAAAAACTTGTTAAGTAAAATAGACATTGAATACATCAGTGGAAGCTTGCTGAACAGCTCTGCTTTGTGGATATTTCAAAAACCACAAAACTTGGTTTTTAGTTAGAAAAATTTAAAATCTATTTGAGTATCTTTGGAATATAAGACTGTTTTATTTTGGATTGTTTTATTTATGAAACAATACTCATTACACCACTATTGTCACTAATGACTCCAAAAAAAAAAAAAACTAATTTCATTCAAATTATTATAGTTCCTCCCATGTTGGATGAATGTTTGGAATTTCTGGAAACCAGACAAAAAAAACTTCCCAGTTTCACTTACGAAGTTATAGTAGTCAGTGATGGAAGTACTGATGCTACAGTAAATGAAGCATTAAACTACAGCAAGAAATATGGCATTGAAAAAGTAAGGGTGCTAGAGCTGGAACGAAATAGAGGCAAAGGGGGCGCTGTCAGATTAGGCATGCTGAGTACTAGAGGAGCCTTATTGCTTTTCGCTGATGCCGATGGCGCTACCAAGTTTGCAGACTTAATTAAGCTGGAAGAGAGTATTGAAAACTTGATTTCAAGTATGTCATACAATTAATAACTACTATGAATTTAAACAGGATAGTTTTTTTTTTCAGCTAATTATTTATCTGAGTCTTCAAAAGCATCTGATTTATTAGCAATCACTGTAGGTTCAAGATCCCACTTAGAAGAAGAAGCTGTTGCAAGCAGAACCTTTTTCAGAACAATTTTAATGTACGGATTTCATTTTTTGGTTTGGTTATTTGCGGTGAGAGGCATCAAGGACACACAATGTGGCTTCAAATTGCTGACCAGAAAGGCTGCTAGATTGTGTTTTGATAGTATGCATGTAGAAAGATGGTAAATTGATTTTTTTTTTGTCTTGAATAAATTCTAAATGGTGGTTTTAGGGCGTTCGATGTTGAACTGCTTTATATAGCACAAAAGTTGAAAATTCCTATTTCTGAGGTGGCTGTTAGGTGGACGGAAATCGACGGTTCGAAAGTGACTCCGGTTTGGAGCTGGTTACAAATGGGCATGGATTTGGTTTTGATTTGGCTAAGGTATACCATAGGGGCTTGGAAAATTAAGGAGAGCAACAAAAACGAGTGATTTATTTACTTGAATAACAGCTTATATTAGTAAAAGAAAACAATTATATGATTATAAGTTTTAAACATAATATATTTGTATTATTGTGCCTAAATTTGTTTGTTTTTTAAAATTTTTATTTGTGTCCTAATGAGGGGTCAACCACCCACGAAAAAAACGTACAGTGATTTCCAGTTTCTTGGAGTACCTTATGATAAGATCAAACAAATATGATGTGAAAAGCAAAGGGCCTTATTATCAAACCCTGGACAACTCCGCTATTAACAAGATGTTGATTTGGCCATTGATACAATCTCTCTTGCTGGTCTATTACTACAATGGGACCTCTCCAAAGTGTTTCAACTTTTCTAGAAGTAGTGTGACGATCCAGGTGGTGAATATTGTAGATATGAATTTATGATTTTTAACTTAAAAAAATACAATATTCTGGCGAGAAATACAATATTCTTTCATTAGAATTATTGCCACGATTTTTTTAACACTTTGTCATGCTGAAGCGAAGTATTAAAGGTGTTTCCAAAACGATTACCTCTTTAGACGTGGTGAGAATAACTGTTTACAATAATGGAAATTATTACGGGTATGTCATAAAAGGAAAGAAAAATGCATCAATACAGAATTAGACAAGTAGATTATCTGGGACTCTGTCAAATGCTTCCTCATAATCGAGATAGATGACATCTGTGAGCTGAAAATTATCATGGTTGTCTGTCCAGTCTTGAAGACATTCAAGTAAATTTGTTGTTGTAGAACGTTTAGAGAGAAATTTGTGTTGTGGTATGAGATTTTTCCCAAAGAAAAACGACAGAACTTATATGGAAGATATTTATTTTGTGAAGGACTAAAAATTTAGAAAACACTTAAACAGTAGGAGCAGGAGGTAAAATCACTCTATTCATGAAAAAAATGAAAACCCTGTAAAAAAAATATATTAAACCTCAAAACAAGATGGGAGTTAATGATTTCATAGAAAACTTCAATGTCTTGAAATTAGCAAGTTGAGAAAATAAAACAAACAGTGCAATTACATGAATGTTTAATTAGCTGACTAAAACTAAATGTGATATAATAATATATGCGTGTATATAATATATAAAAAAATCTTAATTTTAATGTGAAAAAGTTAACTCACAAATTTTCAGTCTCTTACAGAGCACTGATAAACAAGTTAAGTTAACTTTCCAATGTTGTTTCCATACCCACTAATATAACTAACTAAAACTAAAAAAAGAAAAACGCTTAAAATATCTTTCCTTAAAGATTACTTTCTATCAATCTTATATTAAAAAAAATCATTAATTGATAAGGCCCTTGGCTTTGAAGAGATCGCGCATAAGTCCCTTCAAGTACTTGATTTCCCTTTGCAAATCAGTAATTTGATTACTCAATTCACCATGTATGTCAAGCAAACCTTTTTCTTCGGTCAAAATAATTTCAACTTCGGCCTTTTTCTTCAAACGATAACGAGTAGCGGCATTTTTGTTTTGCTCTTTTTTACGATTTTTCTTGTCATCAGGGGAATATGGTTTGTTGCTGCTACGTTTACGTCCTTTTTTGGTTTGTTTTTGATTGAATGAAGCGTCGCCGTTGTCAGTCGACTCCGGGATCCATTCAGTATCATCTGAAGATGAAGAATAATCACCAAAATTACTACTCTGGCTGCTGCTCGTCGGCGAAGAAGAGCCGCTGCTGCTCCATTGCATATCCTCAACAGTTGAACGCACGATTTCGTCGACAACAGCCAATTCGCGTGCGATATCTGGTTGAGGCGTTGAAGCATAATTGTCTGGAGGGAAAGTGAGTACCGTCGGGGATGATTGAAATTGTTGCTTTTCAGGTACAGAAGAAACTATGGCCGATGGAGCTCCTGGTTCTAAAGTGGTGATAACCACTGCTGGTGGACTTTGCGGCGGTGTTAAAGTAACCGCGTGGTTCAACTCGAAATAGACATTTTCTAAATCGTTGAAGACATAAGTGGGTTCTTCAGCTGGAAGTTCGTAATATTCGGGCTTGATTGGTACCGCCACTGCACCGTGAGGCGGTTCCATGTCGTCCAGCAGGGGGAGCATTTTTTCGTCAAGGAGAAATGACGATTCTGCAAAAAAAAAAATACTATTTAATTGCAGTTTGATAATTGCCATATTTGGGTGCAAAAAATAATTAAATATTCCAACGTCCTACACGAGTCAGTGATTGCCACACCCAGCCTGCATTGGTAACTTTCACAGTAGGACATTTTCATATTTAATAGTTCTTTTTGTTAAATTTTCCTGCAATTATTATTAATATAGTGAAAAAATGGTTTACAAGGATGTGGAACGATTTCTAAAATCTTGTAATGGTTGTAGATGAAAGTGACTTTAAATTTGCATTTACATCCCAAGTAGTAGCTTGTTTTTAAGTTATTTTGCATCTTCTGGGTGAATTAATTCATTTGTTTGATAGTTTATTTTAGGCGATCAACGAAGAAATTTTCTGTGAAGCAAAGAATGAGTCAAGAAATTCGAATCAGTATCAAATCTAGAAAGTAAAGACTGAGTACATTCTAAGAGTCTAATACTTAGGTTCTAGGTCAAAATCTGGGTACATTCTAGGAGTATCTAGTAAAAGAACCTGATTCTACTAGAAGTTCAAGAATATTTTGAGATGTTCGAAGCTTTTATCGCAGATCTGGTATATAAGTTTTTCCAGTAATAAGTAATCAAGAATTCCAATGAGTAATCAAGTTCAATTGATAGACCTTCTAGGAAGTAAAGACTAACTATGCTAGGATATAGAAATTGAAGTCCATTGCAAATCATTTATGTAAGCTCTCCAGGATGAATCAAGAAATTCGAACCACAATCAAATTTGAATATGTAGATAATGTAAATTATTAAGTCAATTCTCAAATCACCCTATCAATAAGATTAATCTGCTTAAGTAACTTGACCAGCCTTGATAGAATTTTTCCAGAAAAACATTTACACCTTATGGGTGGGGCCTATAGATATTAGATCAAAGAAAAACAAATCAATTATCGCACATTATTTATGTATATATATTATAAATAAATCAATTTATCCCATTTTAATGAATAATTTATTTGTTTATGACAATGGGACGATAAGCAAAACGCCTGGCAACAAAACAATAAAATATAGAATTTATTTGTCCACTACGGGGAGTTTAATAAAGAAATTAACTAAAAAACTAAAGCTCCTTCTGTCACCGTTCTATTCACGAGGCCGTCTACTGTTAGATAGTAAAACTTCTAATTAGGCCTGCCTGTGCTTTAAATAAAACAGCAAAGATTTTGTAACAAACAACCTGACCCAAGTTGAATGCATTTTTAATGGCTTGCACAAATAGTTGATAGTATTTATGTATGTATTTTGGTCGATAGAGCAGAACAGCTGCACATATCAGTATTATTTATATTTTGATAGGCTTTGCAACTTGGTAACAACTATCAGATATCTTTGGACTGTGCCCTATGTCTTTATTGATTTTACAACAATGTAAAGTTTTTCTGAAATCATTATGTTAAAGAAGAAGTTTACGAAAAAAAGACTGAAATTAATTTGGCCACATGTTAATTTTTTTTTCCTGCGATTTAAATTTCGAAAAGTGTTTTGAGTTTATTACTGGTATTTCAGTTCAAAATAATGTGCAACCTTAATATTAAAATATGGATACACTGATTCTTGCATTTGAAAATTGTGCAAAACGTATTAAATCATTGGAACAAGTCCAAATGACGAACCGAATCTATATAAAGAAAGCGTATTTGTAATTGTAAATATTGGCCAAAGGCATTCACAGTGATGACAGCCGAAATTGAACATGGGAGAATTGTTGGAAGAGCTCAAAAGAAATTCAGAAGATTACTTGATGAGGAAGAAAAATATGGAAGATTTTTATATTCAGAAGTGGATGAAGAAGAAGAAACTTCACAGTAGTTGCAATTTGCAAGTATTATGGACATTTTCATGAAAAAGGGTTGTTGAAGAGCAAAACCACCAGGGAATTTTGAAAGAAGTTGGATGAATAAAAGTCATCATCAGACGTTATGGTTTTTTCTTCTATTAAAATAGACTCGAGGGGTAAACCGCAAGGGAAACTTGGTGTACAAATTAGGGGAAATCAAGAAACAATCTGAAAAATCTAAGGCAATCAGGGAAAATTATAAGGAAATCAAGGGAAATCTTAAGGATCTCGGGAGAAATCAGTAAATCTATAGATGTAACGCATACCCAGTTTTCAAAAATTCAAAAAACTAGTTTTTTTTAATCCTAAATATTTGCTGAATTTTAAAGTATTTGAATAAAGACAACAAGAAATCTTGAAAATATGGAGATTTCAAAATTTTGAAAATTGTAGATCCTTCTTAAAAGACAACTCAGAATTTTAGAGTTTCCGAATATAATTTGAGGTTATGTTATCAGGGAAACTCTTGGGCAATTTTAGTAGTAATCAGAAGAAACCGGGGAAAATCATTCACGACTTCCCCTAAATCCGCAATCTGTTGTACAAAAACTCACCTGCGGTTTATCCCTCAGGAGTAAACAGCAAGAAAAATCTGGTTTATAAATTAGAGGAAACCAAGAAGAAATCTCATGTAATCAGGAGAAATCATAAGAAAATCTTAAGGATCTCGGGGAAAATTTTAAGGAAATCATGGGAAATCTAAACTTGATGTGTAATCTCAAGGAACTTCGTTGACCAGTTAGAAGCAACTACTCCGAGGGCAAATACCCCTACCGGCGTTGAATTACACTGATTGATCTGAGCTTTCGTTTGCATGAAAATTGTTAGAAAGTTTTTTCAGGTAATAAGTAAGTTCAATTTTGCTTGGACAGGGAGCTTCAGCCTATGTCTTTCTGATGAGTCCTAACAAGGACGAAACGCGAAAAGTACTGGCACGAGAAGTCCACTACTCAGTGGGTCGATTCCCAAACAGGGACGTCCCTGATTTCACGTTGGTTATTACCTGGAAAAACTTTCTAACAATCTCAAGGATATCATTCAATATAATAAAGCCTGTTTTTTTTTTAAAGATAAAAGTCAAAATGACATTATGTTGGCAATACAATGTAAAATTGTCAATGCTTTCAAATTTTTTATGCAGAAAAGGCTTGCGTTGCCAACATAGTTACTAAATTTTTGACTTGGGGAATTATCTTTAAATAAAAAACAAACTTTAGATCTAACGCATGCGCAGTTTCCAAAAATCTTTATAATTGAGGTTATGTTGTCAGTAACAGTAACTTAAAACTTAAAACTTAAGAACAGATATGAAAATAACCATTTCTTAAGTTTTACTGATAAGTTTGTTAAAGTGAACTATAAATGGCTTTATACGGTCGGCCGTGTTTTAATATTTTACTGTTACTGCTACTGTTACTGATACTGACACTATAAATCCAGCTTAAGGGAATCTTAATGATAAGTGGTGTACAAAAACTGAACTGCGGTTTACCCCTCGAATAGACTCTTCTTTTTTCTGAGGGCCGGCTTATTCATCTTCGGATAAACTTTCTGGTAATCATCTGACAGATAAATTGATCGTTCTATAATTCTATCGGTTGACGCATAACTGGCCGACCAATGAGATTACAAATTGCGTTTTTATCTGTCAGATTGCATACCTGACAGTTTATCAGAAGTTGAATAAACCGGCCTTTAGTGAACGTTTTTACATTGCTGATAACTTATTTGTTCTTTTTGCCATTGCATTTTTGCTATATTCATATTTCGCCATTCTATGGTCATTTCCTATTGGGAGTCAATGAACTACATCTATGTATGTTGGCAAGGTATCTATGTAATCAATAGACAATGATGGCCTATACAAAAAAAAGGAGAGCACAGAGTGTTTTGTCCTCAAGGAGACCTTCGCTGCGATAACCGCAGTTAGCCTAAAACTAGAAAAGTACATAGATAAAAATACAAAGAAAGAAATTAGGGAACGTGAGAGACATGTGAGACCGGACAGGATGAGTTTTGAAGTGAACACGCAAACAAGCCCGAGAAGGGAGGAGCTTGTAGAGTCTGTATAGACTGAACAATTCGAGGCGGCAGAAAATAAACAAAGTATAGAAGACAACGTGTGAGGATTCCTAGACTCTAAGTGAGCCGGAGGAAGAACAAATAGGGCAAAGCAATATGCCCTGTCTTAAGTGCAAACACACCACAATACCGGGAGAGGAGCTCCCTGAGACAGGTAGTGCTAGACCACACCAGAAAACGACAACTAGGGAACAAGAAATCCAGACTAGTGAGATAAACCCACAAGGCATGGACACTCATCAAAAATGGATACTGGAAGAAGACGAAAACTCGCCAGAACACCTTTTCCGAAACACTGAAGTTATCGTAGAACACAGATCAGGGAACTATCAAGGTGGTACTACTGAATCAACAGATCCAAATATGGAAAAGGGCCTCCAGGCGCTATACAAGTCGAGATTCCCGGGTATAGAGAGCCTTGTGGAGGATTTCGAGGAACTAGAACAGACGACTATCGCCAAAGTTAAGGGAAAAACAAGGTCAGCAACGCAGAAAGTAATAAAAATAAACGTAGGAGATAACGAAGAGCTATGGAACAGGTTGAAGAGGCTAAAAGAGGAAACCCCGAGCGGTCAGGCGATTGCAACAATTATATAGAGTCGATGAGCCTAATACAGCTGCAGAAGATGCTAGAGGCCATCTTCCATGGAACAAATAATAGGATAACCATTTACACCACCAAGCGGAGAAATGACAAAGAAGAAAACACAAAGGAACGCGAAAACAAAACTACGCCTCCGTCGTAGAGGAGCAAGGTAAAGATATGAAAGAATTAAAAGACGTTAAGGATAAGATCTTACTCATGGAAGGCAAAGATAAAGTTCTGGGGTTCAGAAATACTAAAGAAGGCAGATTAGTCATTACAATGGAAAAGGATGAAGCATTGGCAGCTAAAATAAATGAGGAAATAAAAAGCATCTCAAAAAATATAACCACCAGAGTAAAGGGTTAAGATTGACTAACGAAACGTTTTATATCAGAGGAATGGACATCATTACTACAAAGGAGGAAGTTAATTAAGGACTAATAGCAATAATTTCGTAGTGCGTCTTAACGCAATTGCGGAAATCACGGGCACACTACGAGATTATAGCTATTGGCTCAGCGAGGTTAGGCCACAGGCAAACGGCACGCAGGCCATCACGCTAACATTGGATAAAGAACTTGCGGATAAACTCATAACGGAGAAGCACATCAGAATTGGTGTAGCAATATTGAAAAAAAAAAACGTAGAAAGATGTCGCAAATGTTGGTCACACCAGGCAAAGGCATGTACTGAAGACGAAAGTAGCCCAATCTGCGAGCTAGAGGGCCACAGAGCTGGCACGGGCAGGTGAACGGCTTTCAAAAAAACCTTGAAAACAATGAGAAGCCGGAAAAGGCAATCGCACAGGAGGTTTGAATATCAAAATGACTTATAAAATCCGCGCGGCACAACTGAACTTCAACAGGGTGTCATGCAGCCCATGACCTGATGCATAAAACTGGATGTTATTATTGGGTGCGAGCCTAATAAAAGCAGAGCAAAGAACTTTTTATGTGACACAGAGTGCGACTGCTTCATTCAAGTCTATACACCTACAGATCTTCCTTTTGGGAAGCATAAGTCAGGTAGGGGTTTCGTTAGTCTGGAAGTGGGGGAGTGTGTAGTAGTTCGTGCTACTTCTCTCCGAACGGTGCCTTGCAAGTCATGGAAACGCAAGTCCGTGCAGCGGCCCATACTAAAAAAGGAATCGTGATTGGAGGAGATCTAAACGCTAAGTCCCCTGCAATGGGATCTAAAAATAGAAATCAAAGAGGGGGAATTCTGGAGGACTGGTTAGGGACTAACAGACTTATCGCTATGAACGACGCGGGCGTACCACCTTTCGCAAGAGGGAACACTATAGTTCGGTAATAGACTTTACAGCAGTTTCTGAAAATTTGATAAAGTATGTGCCAGAATGGAGAGTATTAGAGGAGTGCGAGAACATAAGCGACCACAAAACGATTAGATGGACCATCGACGACGCGGTAGGTGCGAAGCGCAAACCGCTAGATAATGTAGCGGTTGCAAATATCGAAAACGTTACTGCACTTATGATAAGTCTATGTGGGAAGTTCCTAGCTGGGAAGACTGGTCCGAGAAGACACGGACCCGTGTATTGGTGGCGTAAAGATATTGCTATAAAAAGAAAGATCTGCATTGATATCAGAAGGAGGAAGGCTAGAGTAAACAAGAAAAAAGACGCGGGCACAGTCGAACGCCTGAGGGCAGAACTCACGAAGGCTAGAAAGGAGCTAAGGGCAGAAATTGAGAGGAGTAAGAGGGCAAAATGGAAGGAAGTCTGTACCGAGCTAAACAAGGACGTATGGGGAAAAGGCTGTCAGATTGTGACGATGAAGCTGAAGCTCAGGTCAGGTATGCCACTCAGTAGAGAGACTATTGACGAACAAGTCGAAAAGCTCTTCCCGGTAGGGATAGCACCGCTATGGGCCGGAGATCTCCCTGAGGCCGAGGTGAGGAAGTGTCAAACAAAAAAACTTATCGATGCTACAAAAGACCTGAAAGTTAAGAAACCCCCGGGTACGGACGGCATCCTGCCAGAGGTGATAAAGACTTGCATTGGTGAGAACGCAGCACTTTTCCTAAAGTTATATAAAGACTGTTTAATGAGGGGAATCATTCCTGATTCTTGGAAATCGACGAAACTATGTCTTATAGAGAAGCCCAAAAAAAAGTATTGGAGCACCCATAACATACAGACCGATTAGTCTAATAAATGCAGGAGGGAAAATACTCGAAATCATGTTTAAAAGAAGAATAATGGTGGAAATAGAGGAGAAAAAACTAATCAGCAGGAACCAGTATGGTTACCAGAAGGGTAAATCGACGATTCACGCGGTGAATTCGATTCAAAAAATTATTAACGACTTGAATAAGAAAGCGGTCAAAAACAGGGACTTCTGTGTCATGATCTTGACATAGAGAACGCCTTTGGAGGGGTATCACTGATACTTTGGAAGAGGAGGTATAAGCGGTGACCTAATAAGAATACTGGAAAATAGAAGGATTATGGCTCCAGTGGGAAATATTGTGGAGGTTTCCTGTGGTGTGCCGCAGGGCTCTATCATAAGCCCAATACTATGGAACCTGTTTTATGATAGTATATTAAGACAAAATCTGGGTAATGATATG